ATATTATCTGAATGTAGAATTAGAATAATGCAAAAAAAATATTTAGATATTAAATATATTCAGTATCTCCTATCCCTACTGTTGCGCCATTAACTATGTGAAAGGTTTCTGGAGACTCCAGCATTTCTAGGAGGCTAACCTAGTAAGTTTAAAATGCACTCACTGCCCCAAGTCATTTACATAATAAGTGTGCTCTTTAGGGCTATTTCTTTATCCTTCAGATTGAATATGTTTTTGGACAAAATACATTAGATGCATTCAGTTACATAAAAATCTGAGTATGTTTAATATTTTTGTAGAATCAAATGTTTTATAAAAGCTTCCTATACAAAAGAATGAAAAGTGGTATCTCAGCTTCAGTCATTCACAGCTTTTTGCACATTTAACTGCTAATTGTTATTGGTTGCTAATTGACTTAACTTGCCAACAAAACTTTGACCCATTCTAAAGTAAAAGAAATGTTTTGTTCTTGAAATTTTCAGAACATTTTTCAGCGAGACCTGGCATTGAACTTTCAAAGTGAAACCCAAGGAAAAATGTAGCACTTCATTCATTTTGAAAATTAAGTCAGAGCAGAGAGTGTGGTGTTGATTAGTTTTATCAGAAAATATGCAGGTCATTTCTGAGAGAGAAAGCTTGCCAAGAACCTCCATATGTTGCCTGCACACATTAGAAGTCCAGAGTGTTTGTACCTGTCCTAAATCCTAGCACCTAATCCTTGAAGTGTGGGGCCGTCAGAGCGTATGCTGCACCATGCCACTTCTTTCATCTTTCTCCAATTCTGCACCCTTTGCATGTCTTTGTAGTGCAGTCTTGTCGACTTTCACAAATGAGCAGAGCAATGCTCTTCTTTTAGACTGCTCCTGCTTTAAGGCATCATTTTGTTGCACTACAACGAATGAAAGAATAAATAGAAAGAAATGTATTTTCACTCTGTGATGTCGCCTGCAAAGTCAACAGTTTTGTAGCCAGTTGTAGAAAATAACAAAAATCATCTGAAAAATCCCCAAAGTGTACAAAGGAAGAAAAAAGCACAGAAGCGGGTATAGGTTTGTAGCCTTGTGTTACACAGTGTGAACAAGATGCCATCCAAAAGCCATTTCATTAACATTTGGCGGGATGTGCTCTGTATTCCTGATAGTTGTCCAAACACAGATTGTGTCACCTCAGTGTGACATTTCCGGCAGCTACAATACTTTGTGGTTGCACACATAAAATGTAATCTAAAAATATCACTTACAGATAGAAAAGGGACCGGGCGTCTGTCCACACATATTATTGCTCTGAACATACGGTTTTACTGGAAGAAATTCATCACGCTACAGAGGCCACTGATTGCAGACCAGAAGGCAGCAATAAAACAAGTTGCAAATAATGTCACATTGAGATTCAAAGCATAAAGCAATTTAATCTTAGGTTTTGGATTTATTTTAAGTGCTTTGTAGTCATAAGATGAATAGATTAGAAAACTTTGGTATGTAAATGTATAAAATGTTTTTACTTTAGAAATGAATACAAAAGAAAAATGTGAAATAATATAAGCAGCAAGGTGGCAAAATATATGGGATGAACTAGAAGGATAGGTATGAGTGAGGATGACTTAACAGGAGATTGATTTCACCTTTTTCATGTTTCACTATATCAGAGAATAGAGTAAGATCTACCGTCAGCCAGTTGCGGCAAGACATGGTCAGCACATTTATTTTGTATTCATATAATATTGTCTGAATATCATTATTGGGTTACTCAATGACAACATGTACATTCTTTTTGTATTTAAGAATAATTCAACAGCAATATTTGATTTGAACCTTGTATCTGGGGACACAAATAGTAGAAATACAAATTCTATATACACTCCTTTTTTTAAATTTACTCTGGACAGTTATTGTCATAAATGTTAAATATGATATTTTCACAATATGCGTCTCACAGTACGATATTTATTGAGGTATTTTTTTTATTTTGTGAAGGCTAACACAAATGTGAGTATTCTACTTTGCTGTCATAATACAAATATTTAAGATTTGAAAGAACTACATTTCATCATGTAGATGGGACTGAAACAGAGCCAAGGAACCATAACAACAAATGCAAGCAAAGAGACTTGTAATTTGATGTCTTTGATGACCCACAACACCACTGTGAGACTCCAGAAATACAATAACACAATATTTCGTTTATTGCTACATCCCTATTTAGAAACTCGATGACCAAAAAGCACTGCCGGTGTTTTTGGGCCTCATATCCTTTCTTTTTAAAGTTTACTGACCAACATTTTACATTTTGAACTAGTCACTGGTCAAATGAGACTAAAATTTTACTTCATCCAAACTTCTGTTAAGTTTGGAGGTGTGGAGCTATTCACAAAGACACAGTCAAGGAAATCATATTATTGGTCTCTGAGAATCACGCTTCTAGAAGGGCCCAAGCACTCACCAGACCTTGAGACCTTGAGACTTTTTTTTTTTTTTTTAACAAAAGCTGTTTACACATATTCTGTGTGAATGAACGGGGCATAAACCATATCAGAGCAATCTAAAGTTTTTCTGTTAGTATTCAATACATTATTGCACAGTGCACAAAGCATAATTTATGGACAACTTTAGTCTGATTTATTTAGATGTGCTGATTACTAAAGCCTGTTCTGGGTAAAAGAAAAATGTGATAGCGGCACCTTTTTAGAAATATTTTTACTCAGGAGTCCAATACCATTTGCAGTTGCTGTAGAAGATCCATCACCTGCTTTGATACCCATGAAGATAACGTAATTTCTCATCTTTAACCAATTTCTGTCAATATAACAACTACCCACTGTGCTCCGTTCGGTTCGGTAGCTGCGTCATCACTTCTCATGAGGGCCCATTTGTCCTTCCTTAAAAAAATGAAACTTTTCAACACACAAAAACTTCACTGCCACAACAATTTGTAATGGGACTCAATAAGTGATACCATTGCTCTGCTGCTTGTGGCTAATTAGCACAGAACTGATATGGGGCACCTAATGAAGACATTTTTATTTGTCTGAAGTTTTACACCAAGATGAGCTGTGAGATCTGTCAACTCTTAAACAAGCTCAGCATCTGAAAAAATGTCACAGTTTATAATTGTACAACTTGACGTTTTGTCTCTTCACTTTGGAAGACATAGCACATTAATGTCTCCAAATTTGTGTGTGAACAAATCCTCTTTGGGCCATGTTAGCGAGGCAGCTGTTCAGGCAAACACATAAGTCTTGAAATAAAGACGGATGAATGAGATTTAGAACTTACTGAGAAACAAAGGAAAGTAAATGAATGCTGTTTTTAACTTGATTTTAAGGGATGTGTGATGTTAAATATTATAAAACATAACTTCCAGTATAAGATGAAAAATATATTATAATAGTTTATATTTTGTTTTTGTTCTTGGACAAGGTTTGAACTTTTCAGTTATTGTGCTACTATTTAATCCATTCTATTGCTATCATCCCTTTTTTGTACAGCAACTTGAATTCCATTCAAGCAAAAATGTTATCTGGGTTGAAGTGAATGAACAAAAAGGATTAAAACATGCTAAACAAAAACTAAATCAAGTAATTTTAAATATTCAGAATTGTCAAAATAGTTTTCTTCATCACAACTGCATCCATATTTTTTACAGTTTAAAGTAAAACAAGTTACAATACCTAACAATGCCAGATAGCCTTTCCTAGTCCATCACTCACACACAAATCATATCACTGGCACCAAAATGTGATCTACAGACCCAAAACATATTGGAAACATTTTTTACAGCTCAACCAGGTTGGAAACTTCCTTAAAGATCAGCAGATGAACTCTGGCTGGCACTGCTGACTACACATTTCTTGGTGAGGAAAGAAAAATAAAAAAAACCTGGACATTGCACATGGCAGAAGCAGCCAGTCTTGACACTTGCCAGCAATTTAGAAACTGTACACACATTTACGATAACTCCCATTGAAACGGGAAGGAAAATCATTTGAGATGCACTAGCGGTATCGTGTACTCTCTGTGCTTCCAAAAAGACCTCATTATGTTGCTATAAAGCTAAAGCTCCTCGTTAGCCTTGTAAAAACTCTGTTGATGATTGACTTGAGCGGGAGATAAATTGGGATATTTTAGCTTGTGCCGGGCTCTCGACGTGATCCTCTGCATGAGTTTATTTGTTAGCATAGCAGGCAGCAGGGCTTCTTGTTCACCCACTTCATTAATAGTGACTTGTAGTGTCTTATTGTTTCTAATAAGGACCCAGTTATACAGAAGACGCCAGGTGAATACCATAAAGTGTACCACTGGCAAAAGAGCAGTTCACCCTCAAGACTTGGACCCACAGAAATGCTGACACAAAAGCATTCCGCCGAAGGACACACTGTAGAATGGCTCCCTTAATAAACAACAAAAATATGTTAGTGGCTGAACGTGTGTGGATCGCAATAAAACAGGTCACGGCACCAATATACACCAATGAAAAGTGCTTTAAACACAGCTATTCGTGAATACAAAGCCCAGAGCAAAGTAATTTTCAGCTTGGTTAAAGGGTGAATCTGAGAGTATGAAAGAAATCCCAAGGTAAAACATTGGAGCTGAAATGAAGTGGAATAATTGAATTCGGTTAACATACTTTTTATTTTAAAATATGGACAGCTTTCAATATGCCACAAGCTATAACCGTAGAAATAATGAAAATGTATATACTGTTTCTGTGGAAAGGTTGCACTATTAAAAAAACGTTTTTTTCTTCTTTTTTTTTCAGTGTCTCAGCACGTAACCTGGGAAAATACTGTAATCAGGGTTTCAGTGACTCAGCGGTAGAGCCCTGTCCACTCACCTGAGAAAACTGCCAATAATTATAATACATTTGATTTTATTATATTAGTATAAAGTTAAACTTTATATTTTCTTTACCTTTATTTTATGACTATCTTGTTTTGACTTTGTTTTTCTGCTTTTGGAATCCCACTTTTTCAAGCTAACACTTTTCTCTTCATTTTTTTTCAGCCAACAACTCTCTACTTGGAGGAGGAGGAGGTAAGTAACCCTTTTTCTCAGTTCGCCATTACCAACAAAATAATTTTCAGAAAATTAAAAAACCTAAAATGCCTCAGAAGGGAAAGGACTGTTCCCTCTCTGAGGATATACACACTGTTCTTTGCATCCCAGCAGTGCTCTGTTTTGTCTTTAGTAGCAGGTAGCTCTTTGTTGTGGCAGGTGTTCAAGGTGCATTTGAATGCCACACTGTGTCTGCTTGTGTGTTTGTGAGCAGGTGCAAAGTCGATTGTTTATAATTTATAGGTTTGAAGTCTAGCGCACATAAACACTCATTTTTTAGTGTATTGTTGACTCAGTGCTTTACGGTGTGCGCGCAATGTCAGACGTTCACGGCTAATCGATACTTGTAATAAATCTGTACCACTAATGCACCAGTCGAATTCACTAAAATACGTGCACGCTCTCGACCTGGCATCGCGTGTGTGAGTGTTTGCAAATTTGGGCGCATTTGCCTGTGGTTGTTTTTCTTCATTTAGATAAACGGCTTTAGCCTGTCAGACCACTCGGCACAGTCATTTTTAACCCTATACAAAGTAGTGTATGCAAGTGCCCTATACCGTGGAACTGTCACCATAGCAATATATTTTGACACACCTGTATAAAGTCACTTATTTACACTGAGCATGTAACTGTCAAAGAGCATCGCCTGCAGTAGCTGTAATCTACCCAAAGTGAGCTCCATACTAGGCTACAGACTCCATGGGCAGCTGACATCTCCCAAACAAGATCTGCTTAAATGTTTCATATTTTTCACTGTGTGATAAAAAAGACAGATGTTTTTTGAAAAGTCTTTGAGCAGTGGAGGCGCCGCAGAAATCAGAAGCACCCTAATATTTCTTCAGTTGCCATAGTCATTTTGCCACTGCATCCATAATTCACACAATTTCTTCTCCATCTGGGTCTCTCTTTAGTCTTTTTTTCTGTGGTAATATCGCTGGTCTCTTTGTTATTGTATTTATTTTCCTCCCTCCGACTGTGTTTCCAGCGCTGTCCTTGGGGGTTTGCTCAGTCAGATCCAGCTTACTGTAGGTGTTAATTAGAGATCGGGGCAAGGATAGAAACAGAGGAGTGAATGGAGCAAACAACACAGTAGGGAGAAAGATGATGAGCTGTATGTAGGAAAAAAGAAATCAAATCTTATATTGCAAAGGTCTTCTTGCCATAGATTATGGACAAATCAGAAAATTAAACTGAGGTACTGAAATGGTCGCTCCATGTTATCTATAAATGTTTTAATAATATACACTAACAGCTTCCCAATTAAAAAGCACATAGATGCTGAACAATACTTAAAATCTGCATTAGTTACTCGTGTCATCTCAAATAAGGCACTGATGTTTATTACTGGGTGTTTTTTTGTTTTTTTAAATTAATGATGCAATCATTTTTTTGAGGACTGTGGACCCTGTTGACCATGTATCAGTATATGTATTGCATCACAAAGTTCTTGGCAATTCCAGGCCTTTTACTATTTATCTAATTAATAAGTTATCAGTCAAAAATAGAAGAAATAAAATTAAACATCCTTTACATTAAACGTGAACCATTAAATCACGGTATTATTATATTCTTTACTCACAAAATGGAAATAATACTCTTGAACAGTCTATAAAATGAAGGCAGTCAGTTGAGACTTTATTACTCCATTCAGTGAAACTATGTCGAAAGAGTTACTAATTCGGCTGTTGCGAATTGTTTCATCCAATGCAATCCAACAAAAGGCCTTTACTAAGGCGTCCTCGTGGATCTCAAGGGTACCTGGGTAAATGTCATTGTGTGAAGGAGCACACCTGCACACATTGTTTTCTCACTTGAATGTGGATGAGAGCAGCGCATCAACAGCTAACTCAAGGACAGGAAATTAACCTTTGTTTAGGTCCACTCTCTGCAGATGCTCTCCCATTCAGGTGCTTATCAGCCGTTTCACTGCCTTTAATTGATTTCACAAATAGAAAGAAAAGCAGACAATGATTAGAGGTTGAGTCAGCCAAGCTGATACAGTGAGCTTTATACATATGAGGTTTGAATCTATTAGAATTTTGAGAGCTCGGGCTTTGAAGTTTATGTTGTGCTTCTTCTTTTGGGTCACCATATGTCAACGTGCACCTTTGGGACCAGCACATGCAGCACTGATGGGTTCCTGTGTGTATGGCCTGCACTGAAATGTCATCAGACCTGAGTAAAAAATATAAGGAGTCTATTGGGAAGAGGAGGTGAACCCATTTACCACAGTATGAGTCACTGTAAATAATCCTCAAGGCTGAAAACTACTATGGCAGTATTTGAGCCCAACACAGAGCCTGCCATAAAGAAACCATATGTAATTAAACTGAAGCTGAGGCAGGTGCACTAACTCGATTGGTATTTATGAGGCAGGTGTTTAGAGACATCTGAATTACTGTTTTATTCCTTTAGGTAAATACTAGTTTTACCATTTGAATAACAGCCTGAGGATTTCACTTTACCATTAATGAAACGGGAGTGTTTACCTAATTCAAAACAAACAACAAGCCTTGCGAGCTTACAATTTAATTTATATGTGGCCCCTTATTATAAAGGAATACTTGTAAATATTATATATAATATATAATAGGTTTACATGATCATAATGCAATTTTATTGTTGTATCATATTATTTCTCACAAGGGGGTTTGTTGATAATTCAAATAAGGAAATATTGATCTTTAATAGCTTTTTGGTTTTCTTCTTGTAATGGGACTGTGATAGAAATATGTATATATATTTTATTCCACACATTCAACATTACACTGGGCCAAAAGCAGCCTTCAGCAAGGAGGATTCTTCACAATTGTGAAAATAGAAATGGAGGACTCAGTATGTACCCTTGAACTATAAAATCACCAGTCAATGCCTTAAGTTGGCACAGAACTCCCTTTGTGCTTCTAGTTGTAATATTTCTTTTATTCATGTCACTGATCTGTACTGAACCATGTGGCAAACCCACAGACACACGTTTCCACATTGATTTACAGGACCTGTCCTGCACTTGTTGCATGCAAAAAAAAGCACGTCCAAATGCAAATGACGACAAGACTGTCACAAATCCAGTGCAGATTCTCTTTATGATGCTGGGTGCAGCAGTTCCAATACACACACATACACACCTCCTTCTTTTGAATAATTTAGTCTCAGAATTATATTAGCCTTGAATTTGAATTTGCTTTGGCTAAATCTGTGGGCACATTGTTGCATTAGATTGGAGCCTCAGATGTGGTTCTTACCATTTAAGATTATTCCTGGGATCTTGAAGGGAACAGTGTCCCATCGTGGGATTAACTCACCCAGTGCATAAAAGGCATTTTGGCCCCAATTAACCTTTTGAGCCCCTACTATTAGTCATCAGTGCTCTAATACTGCCAAACTGGGGAATTAGCTGGTTAGCAATCAGATTTAAGTAAATACCTTTTACAATATGCAACACAGTCAGTACAAGCTTTGCAAATATTTCATTAGGACGTATTTTTGCAGAGACGCTTTAGTACGCAGCCACACTTGAATGCCACTACCATGTTATTTGTGAACGGTTTGTTAGTTAAATAATAGCAATTTCAACTAAAAGGTGACATTTCCATGCTTGTCTACTTTGTAATCTTCTTCTTTAGAGAAAAAATAAAGAAATTACCAGAACATGTTCACAGTTACAGCTTATAAAATATTTTCAGATGGGGTTTTTATAGTGGGGGACTTACTTTCAAAGCCCTTCACTTGTTATGATGTGAAGCACCTTTGTAATCTCAACCCAGTGATCCGACTGATACAAACCGACAGGGAAAGACAGGCAGCTGGTGTCTGTTGTAGGTCTATGGGGACCGAGAGCACAGGATGTGAGGGAGCCACTAACTCACTCGGAATATCATAAGCTTTGGAAGTAGAATCACTACAAAAAGTACATAATATGCAACGTCTTTTACTTTTTAATTTTATAAATGGAGGAAATAGAAGGTACATGAACATTTTTGCAGTATTTTGAAACCTGAGTGAATGGGTGTGCCCTGACATGTATAATCAATCCTTCCGAATAGGATGGGGTTTGATGGCGATCTCGGAGCTCTCTGTGGAGGTGCAGAAAAATGAAGTAAGTGGATGGTCTTGTCTGCTCCTGTTTCTGAGCAAATGAACAAAGGGCCATGTATTGTGGATGAAGGCTGTGGGAAGAGTGTGAGATTGGTTTGGGGCAGCACTGATGAGACAAGCAGCAGAGAGCACTTAGAACACGCTCCATATTCTGACAGTGATGCCAGCGCCTCAGCTGCATGCATAAATTCAACTGTTCTGTGTCTCAATGTGTGTTAGTGATGCACAAGTTCACTGTAGTAGCATTTAACAGGTCGCAATGAAGTTTGTGTGTGAGAAAGTGCATCCTCCCCGCCAGACCCATCCTAAATGTTGCCTTGGCAACAAGCTGACTGGAGTAAATGAGTGTCCTGGCTCTTCTGAGGGATTGTGGGAAAGCAATATGCCAGCGTTCCGCCCCATTAGTTTGACGGACAGCCTGTTTGGCCTATAAGAGGTCAGCTGGCAAGGGCGGCCATATTAGTATTCTACAGACGGGACCTTGGGATTAGTTTTACTCTAATGTCAATCTACCTGTGTGTGGGCGCGAGTGTCTTGTAGGAGGTAATAGCTGTCCTGCTGAGTAACATTGCAGGCAGGTGTGCGTCAGTGTGTGCAAGTCTTTATTTGTTTGTGTGCCCTGTTGGGGGTTGCGGGCTCTTCGCCAGGTAAGCATATCACCAATTATCACTTCCCAGTCGCAATCCCGTCTTCCCCCTCACTCTGCCTCAACCCTCCCTCACCCCCCATCAGCACACAAACACCTCTCCTTGGCTACCGGCTGCGCACTGGTCCACACACGCCAAAGCCCTCATATCTGCCCCCTCCCTGCGCCCATTCATCCATCGCCGTCTTTTTATTCAAGCCTATCGCACAAACCTTGCTTAACATTCATCTCTAGCCCC